AATCGTGTAGTTGCAAATTCTCTTCACTCATTTTTACCATCCATATATTAGCCGTTTTCTTTTGATTGGGTACAAAAATTTCGGAAATCATAATTTAAAAACTGTCATTTTTAAAGATAAATAATAAAAATTTTACAAATTTGTAGAGCATTAGTATTATTAATTTTTTTATTCTTTATTAGAGGTCCTGGAAAGCAGAATTCATTTTGTACTTTCCTTTCTTTCACTTCAACTTTCCCATTCAGCGGAGAAAATTAATCATACTATAATTTTTAGTCTTGCAGAGTGTAGATCTTTATTTGACAAATACCAAACTTTTCATAATTTGGAAATAAATTGCGATCAACTTGTGACTAAATTACAGCTTTTGTTGCTTTCCGTTACTTTAAAACGGCCAAAATACTTTTATCTTTGTTATTAAAAACGCTACGACACCCGAGAAAATTAATCATATTGTGTTTTTTTTATAGTCCTGCAGACTTAAGATCTTATTGCACCAGAACCGATTTTAATCTCCTTCTAACTTTCTTTCTCCTCTCAAATTTAACGTTGCCGACAAGAACCCTCCGCTCTTATTATTGGGTAAAAATAAACTCCAGCTAATGAAATGATACGCTTATTTAGACTTCAGAGCGTATCGCCTTTCGTCCTTAAAATACATTGAATGTATCCAATTTCGCTGGCACCAGTGCAAATGCACTCGGTTTTTGATACCTCGAGGCGGGCAGACGCTATTAGCGCGGCAATTTGTATCGGCAGAGCGTCAAGCCATTTTTTTGCAATTTCCAATCTGCTCACAACACAAGCCAGCAAATCGATTTCCGTTCGTTGAACGGCCTGCTTGTTTCAAAGTGCTCTCATGCTTCTTGTTGAGATTAAATTTCGCATTAATATCAATCAAGTTCGCCTCGCACCACACGCACTCCAACCACGCCCCGAAAGTCAAACACCCACTCTGATATTCGCCCAACCCTTCGAATCGAGGGGATTCAAAAAATAAATAATTCAAATTGCCGTGATTGCGAAATTCCATTAGTCAGTTGTGCGTGCATTTGTATTATGCAAACAACAGAATTCGTGCTCAAAAATCACGGGCCCTGACACAGTTGTAAATTAAATTTGCATTTAAATGTGACGTCGGCGTCGACGCCAGGTGAATACGAATGAGCTCCGACGCTTTGTTTAGGCAAATGTTTGTTTGCTTGTCATCCCAGCAGGATCATTTCCGACGCTCAAGGAAGCTATACGCATGAATTTCAAAACATCCACGCACACCAGCACTCTGAATTAATGCAATTGAATTCGGTCCAAATCGTTTTTTTGCATTTTGTTTTGTCTTTCCCAGTCTCTTTGGATCGCTTCCAGCCAAATTGCGTTCCATTATCCAACTAATTGAGCCCTCGAGATAAATAAAGTGGATCTAATTATTCTAAAAGTATTGTCTTTTTTAAATTGAAAACTGAATAAATATTAAAATAAAAATATTAATTTATTTTTTTTTAATTTAATTTTGAAAAAAATTTCCAAGCAACAATCAATGCGTTCAAGAACATAAATTATGAATTTTTTTAAACTTTTGAATAACAAAATAATGAAAATGAATAATAAATTGGATCATTACTTAAATCTGTTTAAAAAAAGCCGAGCATTAACTTATTTGTTTTCATGAGCATTGCAGGCAATATTTTCAACGTTTGAAATTTCAGTTGTTAAAAACTTATCATAAATTCACTTGTGCAGAGTCTTCTATTGGCCAAATTGGTCTTAATCGTCAATATACAATTATATTTAGCCCTTCTAAATCATCACTTCTCCGTGAATGTTGATTCCGTAGGGTATTGTTTATTTAGCCCGTCGAGCAGGACCGATTCTCTCCTTCTGGCATGTGCACACTCTCATTATCCGGCTTGTTTGATTAGCACAATTTGCAGTGCCGCATGTGAGTGGGCGTGTGTCAGAGTTGCATTGCAGGCTGCTCTCCCAATTACGTCCGCAGCTTGTTTAATTCTGCTTTGCTACCTGAGGCTGTGTGCTGCTATTTGCCTGCTTTGAATAATACCAACGCACACGGCCCTTTGAACTGCTCTCGCTGGCAGAAAATGAGTTTCCGTCCATACAATAATCTGCTTTCGCTGCAGTTGAAAGGGATTTTTTAATTGTGCGCACATATAGTTGTTTGCTCAGGGTTAATTTTTCATGCGGTGCTCACAGGAAAGTTGGAAGGCTGCGCTTTTTAGTCGGAGCGGAATGACTAGAATTATGCAACTTATGCAAGTCGCTATTCTTTGTCAACTTGGTTCAGTCCGTTGATGGAGACAAAGAATAAAAAGTAGGCAACCATTGGTACACAGAAGGCGCAGCGGTTGCATAACTCCTAATTGTAACATCGCATAATGTAAAAAAAAGGAGTCAGCGGATGGGATCTATTCTTTCCTACACGAACCTAGACAGAATCTGAATAAATTATTCTCATAAAGGGAGGTTTTTTATAAATATGAGTTTTCACGTTGTTCGTACTCTTTGAAATGAAATAATGGCGCGATTAAATTCAAAAATGTCAATGAAAAATGTTTCACGAAATCCACAAATCAACTTTGAGTGTTACCATTCAATTTAAAAATGTTAATATTATACTTTTTTGTTATTTACTTGTATTTGCAGACTTATTTATGAATTAATTTAAAAAATTAGTAATCATTAACTCCGAAATGCGACTTTTCCCTCCCCTAATTGCCGCACTTGCCTGAAGCATGGTATTTAATTTCTTATTTGTTCTTCTAAACATAACAGCAGCCTCTTGAGATGGAGGAATGTTTATTCAACGTGACATTTTGCTCAAGTCCTATAATTCTTACCGCTCCGAGCGCTGGAAAAGCAGCTCATTTGGCAAAAGCACATCCAGCGGCACGTTTTGCACATTTGACTCTGTTTATTAACACAAAGAATGTTTGCTCAAGAAATGTTTATCAAAAGCAACGGAGGCTGTTTGAAAATTCGCCGAATCCCCAGAGGACTTTTCCAATACGCCGACCTTTTTCCTTCCCCAGAGTCAAATAAGCAAAAGTAGAAGAACAAGAAGTGTCTGCAGCATTTGAAAAAGTTGGCAGACGTCGCCGCCGAGCCGATATATTGGCTCTGCATGTTTTCGGCACTTGGCAATAATTAAAACGGGAGAGTCGATTCCGTGCTGAGCCTCTTCGGACGACGTTCATGCACCACCCGAGTAATGTAAATTTATTGACTTGTCCGTGCAAAGCACACACACGAGAGAGGGAGGGAGAGTGGTGGGCGGTTGTGTTCAAGGGCTTAATATTGTTTGGCTACATGAATAATAGCGCCACTCCAAGATAAGCCTGTTCCGATGAACAGGCCCGGCATTTATTTACAGTTTCTCGCTCGAGAGCTTAGTGACTTCTCTCGCTACTTCGCTGCCATTGACATTTCTGCGCTGCAACTCACCCCTTCCCCGCCCCCCTCCGTGCACTTAACCTGACGGAAAAACCACTGCCCGGCTCTCTTGAGAGGAGGAATGGCCAGTTGACAGGGCCTTTTAAGCTCTGAATTACTGCCGCCGCGAGCTTAGCAGTGTCGCCCGCTTGTCAAATAATCTCTTAGAAATGAGAATCGTCTCGTGTGTGTTCGGATCTTTGACGCAATTAATCTTCCACCGAGGTCATCCCAGTGACAGCCATTTTTACGGCTTTTCTACGTGCTTTGATTGTGCTGTTTGCTCAAGTGGTGATTTGGGAGATGAAGCGTCTCAACTCTTGGAACACGTCAACCTATAAAATGGCAATTTATTGTTAGTGAAATATCGTTCTGAGAAAGTTGCATGAAAATAATAATGTCATTATTTTTTATATAACATTTTATGTCATTCTATTTAATGCTGAATTATCTTTTTTTAATCAATTACTAATCAACTCAATAACTCTAGTCAAAAGTTTTAGGAGGAATGAAACGAAATCTATATTGAATCAAATAAATTGAATGTTTCCGATTTAAAGGAAATCAGTGACACCAGACTTCATAATTAAAAATAGGTAATTTTAGAGCATGTAATTAAATATAAATTTTAATTAATATCATTGATAATGTTTATAAAATTTCCAACTTAGGAAATTTATTTGCAACATGAATGAACTTCCAATTAAAATTAAACATTTTTCCCTTTGTTTTATAGAAAAATTTGCGTAAAACTTGGTGCAGGATTATTTTTAAGTGAGTTGGTAAGGAAGTCAGATTGATTTTCCTTACCAACAGTTCCATTTAAAAAACCAGCTTTTAACAAAATAAATTCAATAATGAAAATAAGACAAAATTTTACTGTCACATATTGAACTGCAAAATAATATGCAATTTTTCTTTAAACTATTGTTGGGTCTTTTGGCTTTTGGCGAAAAAAGTATTATGGCGTGAAAGCGTTGGTTTCAATTTTTAATGGAAATATTGGATTGTTGAAAAATATTCTCCTGAATCCAATTTTCATCAGTTTTTGCCTAAAAGCGAAATAGCATGACGTGTATTACACACAATTTGTGAGCTCATTTCAAATAAAGTACTAAATTTAGCACCTTGCATGTACGCTGTGTGCCACCGTCGTAAAAAGTTACGATTCATAAAATCTGCTCCATACACGAAGGCAGCAAAACGCCATTGTTGAGACTCGCACAATGGTGGTGCCAAGCATGCACCTCGACTACTCCTTTCCGGGGAGCAAAAAACAAAACACATTGCAATAATGCCCCATTCGTTTAAAAGGCCGGCAACATACAACTAGGACTGCAATCGCCGGCGAATCGATCATAAAAAGCTCGCTCAGATGCACATTCATTCACATGGCACAACAAAGCGCCGGCAGCGCTTATTGTTGTCTCACTCACGCGACCCTATAGACGTTGCAAATAGCGACATAAAACGGCGGGGCTGGCGAACGGGTTCCCTATATGCACTCTTTGCTATGGAAAAGAAGAGAGGATTGTCATAAATCTCTGTTTCAGCGTCAAGACGGACATTCTCAGCTCGGGAGCCACCAGTTTTTTGTACATCGCCAACGCCAACCAGCACGACTCTGGCAACTACACGTGTGCCCTCACCGACGTGGCAGAAGCAACGATTTCCGTTCATGTGCTCAATGGTGAGTCTCCATAATTTTTCCTTTTTACAATCTAAATTATTTTTATCAAATTATACTTATACTCTTCTTTAAAAAGAAATTGAGGGCCTCTACTTACGAAACAAAATTATTTTCTTCATTAATTTAAAATAAATGCCATTGACACGATTTAAAATATTATTTTGTCATTTCATAAGATTGCGTATTTTTTTTTTCATCATAATTCATTACTATAAGCTATAAGAGAAGAATACGTGATCTTAGAAATGTAGGTTACTAGTGAATGCCATTCAATTCAAGATATCAGAGGGATTTGTAAATTTATTTAAAATTTGCAAATAAATCAAAATAACCAAACCCTTTATGTAACATTTTAATTTTATTTTACATAAATATGTATAAAAAAACTACTTAAATAAAAAAAATATATATATATAAAAAAATTATATCAGTATAATTTTTTAATGTTTCTAATACATATGTCTGTTTATTTAAACTTTTTATTTTATTTTAAAATGAGCATTAGATGGGCAGATAACTATGATTTTGGATTACAGATTTTATATTTGCTAGCTTATAAATAAATTTTGAATTTAAAGTGTTTCAAATACTTTGAATCATTATTTTTTTCCACTTTCCGTCACTATTTTTCTGAAACTTGCTTGTAATATTTAACAATCTCATAAAAAACAAACCACCAAGAACGGAAAGAACATGTAGAAGATGTTTTGCAGTAGCAAATTCTTACTTTTAGAGAACAATTAGGACCCTGAAAGTTTTTTTTTCCGACAATGGATTAAAACCCATGACGACCCTCAAATTGTTCCCTCTATTTGTCCAGCCTTCCTTTTACAAATAACTTGAGCAAAAAGTCGCAGCTGTGCATTTTGGGAGGAAAAGTGGGGTAGCCAAGCGACATGCCTTTTTTTATTCCGAAAGTTGCCTCGGGTGAAAAAGGGCGCTTGACAAAAGATCCCAGGGAGGTGAAGTTTAATTTCCTAAATTTGTTTCGGGGAAAACTTTGAAAGAGAGAGATTGCTCCACACTTTTCTTTTTTTTTCTTTTGCCGCCTGAAGAGATTTTCTTCATTTTTCCCTTATAATTGCTAATCATGGGCTTATTTTCACTTCTAAAAATAAATTTCGTTTAATTTTGCGTTTCCACTTTCATTTTACTGCTAATCTCCCAGCAGATCTAATCCTGTCTCAAAGCCATTATCCGGTAGAGTTGATTGTCAGTCTGCAAACATTCCGTTCTATTTGCTGATCTTGATAGACTCGGTTTTTTTATCCGATTTACCTGTTTGACGCAACAGCAATCGATATTTTTCCAATTACCTGTCACCTTAAGTCAACAAGAAGGGTATAATGGCATTGGGAAGCTTTTTCGCCAGCGGAAAGGTCATGGTCGATTAGTGGCCGCGAGTGTGTGTCGGGCTAGAAATTTAACGTCGTCGGCGCCATTTGTGGCGAAAATCGGACGTGTCACCACCATTTGTTACGAGTAAGAGCGAAAGAAAGAAGGCGAGAACGAAAAAAGTAAATAGGCCTTTTGCTTTTTATTGCCACTACTTGCAGTCCGCGTGTAGTAAAAGCAGCACCTCTCGAAAGTGTTTTGGACCCACATGAATGTTGAAGGTGGCTATTATTATCAATGAAACGGCCTCTTTGCTATTTATCACCCAATGCATAGCCAAACTCTATTTCGTTCTCTTTTGTAAAAATCCTTATTATTTTTTTTTTTTAGATTCACAGATTTGCAAGTAGTGCAATAAATGGAAATGAACAGACCCTGAAAAGAAATGTCAGACAATTTAATTTAACAAATGCTCAGAAAAGGAAATAACTTGAGACCCCCTGGCGAAAAACTGAATATCTCCAAGTTATGTAATTAAATATTCGAAATGAAGAAGTCAGGCTTAAATATTGCTGCTTTTTTAAGAGTTAATAAAAATAAGCCATTGTGTCGAGATTATATTAAAATTTTAAAATTTCGGGCTGCAAATTTTTGATAGTAAATTTCTTTATATTTTCATTGGTCAAAAACATAAATTAATCATCAGATTTAAAGTTGATTAAGAAAAAAAACATCTAGCTAGAAAAAACCAAACCCCATGTATATTAAATATTTTTTTACCAAAATATTGCACTAAACTTAAAAGTCCAAACACAAATTTTTAATGAACAAATTCTGTGATTTTTTTAATCTATTTGCTTAAACAATAAATATAGGGTCTAAAAATAGTAAAAAGTAAAAATATCTATATATTTTATTTATTTATTTATTATTATTATTTTTTTTTTGCTTTTTTGAGAAAAAGTAAAAAGTACATATTTATCACTCTCACATTTTTCTCTTTCTAATTACTCTATATTTCAAAAATACATTTCCAGAATGAAGAATGCTGTGAACTAAAAGAAATCTTTTCACAAGTATTTTATGGAAATGGAAGGAAAATATAAAAGTATAAATTTCACATTTGCAAAAGAGCGTGCAAATTCTGCATTCAGCCACTCACATGGACATTTTCCTGCCGAGTGAACATGCGCTGCAATTGAATTAGCCTGAATCCCCAGCCAACGCACCCCGGATTAATCTCTCGCGTGCAGAAACTCGCTCCCCACAAACAAACAAACTTAAATCTTGCAAGAGTCGTTCGCCAGCGAAACGATTTACGCCTTTCTCTTGAGTAATTCACCATATTATGCAGTGTGCGCGAAACAACTGCAGTAAAAGCGAACGAGTTCTCTGCAAATGGGCGCACACGCTCTCCACTCGTCCGTTTTATTCGCTTTCGCCGACCGAGTATTGACTAACGCGATAATAACGCTCGACTAAGAATCCGCCCAGGGAAGCGTAGAACCAGCACTGTTTCCTTTGCAGGCACGTTCCGCTGCTGTCCGTGTGTGCACATCCGCTTTACACATGTATCGAACAGTGGTGCAAATAGAGGTGCATCGACTAAACCAGAATCGCGATTCAGTGCATGCATGCGTTTGTGCTGCATCTGTGTTGGTTGTTCAGCGGAACTGCATTATTTTGCTTTTCTAATCAACTGGAAAAATGCAGCTTGTTAAATTCTTAACTGCGTTGAGTCGTTTTCTATGCTCTGCAGAATGATTTGTTTGACAAATTGTAACGTAAGCAATTTTGTTCACCAAGCTATCCCCATATCGAGATAATCAAACATGGATTCAAAAGTAAATATTATTTAATTTTATCGAGATAAAAAAAATCTATAATAATTAAAACATTAATTATACAAATAAATGCAAAAAAAAAGTATTTTAAAACTAAAAAGAGTCCGAAATTGAATTTTTTTCACTTGTAGCACAAAGTTATCCCATATTTATAAATTTTTCTGAGCAAAACTTTCTATCTGATGACAAGCTTCATTGAATTTTCATAGCGATTTTCGTGTTGATGGTTGTTTTTCAAAATCCAAACTTTCCATAAACTGCAGGGGTTCATTTTTTTTAAATCAAATTATTTTTACTTTGACTAGAGCAATTTTAAATTACTACATCGCATGAAAGCTGATTAGCGGACTTTTTTGGCCAATTAAAAGATGGAAATATGAAGCTTAAAATTAATTTAATTCATTTTATTGTATTTTTTTTTTTCAAATTTTGTTGATTTTGGTCAGTTTTTAATATTATTTAAAAAAAAATCAACATTTATTCCTGCTTCAGTAAACTAATTTTGGCAATCAACACCCAATTTGATCTATTCCCCTCTGATATGCTTTTGACCACCAGAAACTTAAATGAAGTGGGTTTTGTATAAAATGATAATTATCTTTTATAAAAGTCACAGTTATTTTTAAGGTTGACATTTTGGATATTTTTCACGGAAATTTTCATCATATTACCGTGGGGACTAATCAGACTGAAATATTGGCCACTCATTTTACTATTGTAGACGAGGAAAAAGCTTGATTTTCCTTTTCGCGCTTTTTATTTTTTTTTCCTGATGAATTATTGGAATTTCATTAAATAAATTGTACTCTGCTATATTACTTTTAAAAATACAAGCGTAATTTCTAAATATTCTCTTTTCCGTCATCAAATCACAATAGAGATTTAAAATCTGTCTGTCCAGCAACAAACTCTCGATTTCACAAAGCAAAAGTCTCTCTCGATTGAAACTTGAAACGGCAAACAAGGTGTGTGTGGCGCAATATTTCCTCTTGACAAAGCTGCATGGAAAAAACGACAGCTTCTCTGATCTCTCTAAAGCAAAAAGCCGCTCTCTATTTTCGCATCAAAGGACTTTCCTGCCCACTCGCATTTTATACGTCCAGTGTGTGCAAATAATCCGCCGCCATGTTGGCCGCGTTATTACCCCGTAATGCATAAAATAACACATGCAGCTCGACGATTGTGTTATATGCACGTGAAAAAGCTCATCTCCAGCCAGCGCTTAAATTTTATCACCCTGCCCGCTACGGCTGATAATTTTTGCGTGCGGCCAAATCCGGTAATCAGCCGGCGAGCGTGTTATTCGCAATAATGGCCGTCGGCGGCAGCCTTTGGGGAGTTATTTTAATTAAAACTTTATGTGCATTGATGTGCCTGAATAGATAACCACGGCCGCTGCACACAAACCCGGTCATATTCTGGTCGGTGCACATTTCTGGCTCGTTTGCATTCGCAACGCCACTATCTATGCCAGAATCAATTTCACGCCACTTCATTGATGTATATATTCATAAAGGCCGGCGTATGGATGGGGGAGAATGCGGATCGTCCCATTGTGGGGCCCGAGGTGCAAATTGTAATCCTGCTAATCTGGAAGCCGCAGTGGATCAGCCGCTGACTGGTAAGTAACCAGTGCAGGACAGACGGACGCGGTGCCTGCAGTGCAGAAATTATACTTCAATCGGTCTGGGTGGTAAATTGCGCCACCACCGAGTAAGTCTTGCCTGCATAAATTTTCAGGAGAAATTGAACCTCTTAATTATAATATAAGCATAATATGTTCTGAATGAAAATATAAATAATTAGTTTTTAGCTCATTAT